AGGACCGGAGAGCACTCGCACTGCACATCCAACCCGCGAGCTGTTGTGACTGAGACGAGACAGCACAGCCGTCGTGGTGACGCTGACTGTGCCGTTGGTGTTGGTGATGCTGGTGGAGTTGCAGTGGGGGACAGTCAGCGTCACGGTGGGAGCAGGTCGACCTGTGGCCGAGCAGGACACAAGTACCTCTTCAGCAGAGTTTGATTCTCTGACATGTAGAACGGCTTTGTGCAGCTCTGCAAAGAAAAGATGTTTAAATGCTGTTAGTGGTGATATTACAGAGAAGAGGATTATGGAAGTGTCTGCAGCAAGGTTCTCACCATAGAGCTGGAGGCATGTTCTCCCAGTGAGGGCACCATCAGGGTAGGTGTTGAACAAACAGAGATAGCATCCTTGATCTCGGTCTGTCACGTTCCTGATCACGATGGAGCTGTTCTGCAGTCCCGCAGCTTTAAACTCCACTTTACTTTCGTAGTCAGGATTCACTTTGTGACCGTAGATTTTGTGGTTAGAAGCCAGATTCTTCTCCCCCTCAGGTAAACTTTTCAGCCACGTGACCTGCACGACATCTTTAGACTGCATCAGCTGACAGTTCAAGCAGGCGTTGTCTCCTAAAGCCGCCAACACGGTGTGCTGGGATTCAATCAGAGCGGTTTGACCTGCAGGAAACACAACATGTGCATGATGAGATACTCCACAGAATTCACTTCACAGAGCAAAACATGTTTGAAATCAGGACTCCGTCTGCATGGCACACAAAAGAGAGTGGGTAGCTATGTTCACGCCAGCTGGCACTGCACACCATTAAACGTGTTTGTGAAGAGATCATGGATCACATCTTTCTGGGAAAAAAAACATTATTCAAACAAACTATTGATATTCATATTGACACAATTGAATCTGACCCTAATAAATCCTCTCCTTGTGGTCTGGAAGTAATATCAGTCAAATAAACACAAAACAAACAGAACTCCCCAGAAATATAACAATATTCATAATAAATAAATTGCATAAGGCAGCATTAATATCACTGCTGACCCGTTCTGGAGAAAAGAAAAAAGATCAGCAGGATATAACAGCTCTCATTGTGGATGTAATGAGCAAAGAAACTGCAAGTCCAGTTCTGACGGAGTTTGATTAATAAAAGACGTTTATTTATTTTGCAAAATGTGAGATAGAATATTAGGTAATCGAGGCAATCATATTATCAGCCAAAAACGTACCTACAATAAACAAAAACATTAGTCACACAGCTGTGCTTTAAATCAAATGAATCACATATTTCGATCTAAAGGTTGGGAAACACATGTGTATCATCGCTTCCTCACCTTTGTGAAAAACTCCCAACACACAAAGGAAATGGAGGACTGCACGGCGGGACATCTTTCCATAATGATTAGAATCTACCACCAGAAATAGTGAAATACTTTTGAATACTGTAATGGTAATTTTTTACGTAGTATATATTTCTACTCAGTATATTATATTCATGCATAAGTAATTTTGTTCTGAACTTTGTTGAACTTCACCGTGTCTCTGTTGTGCAAAATAAGAATTCTCCCTTGCCTGTTCACAAAGATAACTAACTGTGTTGTTTGAGAATGTTCCAGCACCAAGGCCTTTGGGCTGCTTGCTTTGGTTGCTGACCGTTTGTTTTTGAATGTTGTTCGTAGTCTGAGACCAAAATGTCTGTAACATTGTCCATCGGCCCCCACTTTTGCTCATTCTGTAGAAAGAAAGCTTGTTCACTTTTTTCGAGGTTCTTCCTCACTGAGACTGCGCATTCTGTTGTGATGATTGAACCTTCTCTGCGCAGAGAATAAATAGGACTTAAAAGACAACCTGGTTTTTGGTATTATGTATTTCAGCATTAAAAGACTCACGCAAAGCGGGTATAGGAATATTTTCCACAACAATACTCCCACCACTGGGCATGTTTTCACTGGCAAGAAGAAGAACATTCTCACCTGTGGAGTCGGCTAATGAGCATGAGTAGTGGGCGTCCCCGCCATAGTCAGCTGTTTTATTTCCATAGCCAGTGATCTGCGACGCGGAGGCTGATAATAACAACAGCTGGGTGTCAGTAAATGCAGACTTGAAAACATATACATACAGTACATGTAAAAAAAAGCTGGATTGTATTCTTGAATATAAAAAACAGTAGTACAGAGAATATAGAAGGGCTCACCCTTTCTTTTCAGTGTCACTTACCTCTACACAACAAAGCAGTAAGTATCAGGATCAACAACAACATCTTCTTCTGGACTGCAGATGTCTTTCACTTCAGCCTCTGTGCTCCTTTAATTAAAAGGGCCCAGAGTGAAACTGAAAGAAAGAGAGGATGGGAGGAGGATTTATTTCTAAGCCTTTGATATTTAAACCACAATGAACATATAATCTGAGACTTTGAATAATGAATGATTTAAAGCAAATGTATCTTCAACAGAGAAAAGTCTCATTATAAGAGGCTGTGGTTGAATATACATGATCTGAAAACGGACTGCATTCCCGAAGCTGCTATCAAGGTAAAACAAATCCTTATGGACGATATGATATTTTACTGAGGAAATCAATTCGACTACACAAGATAATAGTGTAAGGCATAGGACATGTGAATATACAATAGGTACTTGTTACACAGAGAACAAGAGGATTTGGGTGCAGGCAGTCAGCTGCTTCATAGATTACAAGTCTCATGATGTAAGCATATAATAGACTGTTTCACAACAAGTATATAAAACAGTTCCACTGATAAGAATATAAAATACACAAAATAATCATTTCCATTACATAAACAGCAAGATACATTTGAGCACGTATGTTACACAAAGGATGAAGGTGTACTGCGTTCAGAGCAAAAGCACTTAAGCATTTACACAATATACGAAGACATTTTCCATTACAATGTTCACGCCACCTGGGACTGCACACCATTAAACGTGTTTGTGAAGAGATCACTGGAAGAAATACTTATGGATCACATCTTTATGGAAAAAAATAATACATACAGTATATATTATATTAGCGGCCAAAAACGTATACAATAAACAATAAACATACGAGAGTCACACAGCTGTGCTTTAAATCAAATTAATGAATCACATATTTCGATCTAAAGGTCGGGAAACATGTGTATCATCGCTTCCTTACCTTTGTGAAAGACTCCCAACACACAAAGGAAATGTAGGACTGCACGGGGGGACATCTTGGCTGCATAATGATTTGAATCTACCGCCAGAAGTGTTCCTGTTGCCCCAGGTACGCATGCGGAGATAACTCCAGATGAGTCGTTTGTGAACTTTGTCCCTGTGACTCATGATTTATATCCTTAAAGGGACACACACATTTTAAAAGAGTTTACATTTGATTCATTTACTTCCAGTGTTTGACAGGGATTAATTAGCACCTGGATGAAAAACTACTAACTTCACCAGAATTAAAACCATACATTTGTTATGTCAGGGTGGATGTGCATTGAGCAATAAATACCATTGGTGAGTATCCTGTGTTGGCTTCCTCTGTCACAGCAGTTTGTGCTGTATTAATATAATCATTAACTAATTCTTCGAAAATAAATAAGGGCATTATTATAGAATTATAACAAGACATTTAAACTGAATGGTTGCTGTCATAGCAGAGATGTGGCTCCATTATTTTATTTCTCCATTACTTCTAAGGTCCTTTCTGACGGTTTGGTGCAGTGATGAGGACGATAAGAGGTTTCTGTACTTGCATGTTTTCACATGTGCTTTGGTGGGAAGTTGATTTGATCAGGGTTTCTTACTCTGCTGGTGTTTGAACTGCAGTATGTTCTGTTTGATCATCACATGGAGCTCATTAAGTCCTTTCCAGAGATGTAAAATTACAGATTTTAAGACTTTCTTTTGCACAAAACCCTTATTTTGTTAAATGTTGCTTTCA